GGATATAGAGGGTGGCTGTCCCGATCGATATTTACTAAGGATAAAGAACAGCCACACGAACAGACCAAGCAGATTTGGCCGCCATCTTTTACTAAGGATAAAGAAGGTTGCTTAATCGAAATGCGCGCCGTATTACGCTACCCCACTACTGGGGTAGTTACATAGTTGGCACTCTGGGGAGTGTTGTGGCTGTATTCTGTTTAGGTATATATATATGATATATATATTAGATATATATATATATTTGAAATGATCTTGATTTTTTTTTTGGGGGGGGGGGGGGGGTTATAAATAGTTTTTAAAATATTGAAAACAAAATATTAATAAAACAAAACAAAACATCAAGATAATTTTTTGTTTGTTTATATAAGCAGTTTGTACATCTAAAGTTAACAATCTAATTAATATGATAAGACAGACATTTAATTAAACATCAAGAACATATTTTGACCAAAACGTATCTCTAAACCGCCCGTTTCTCTTTTAGCAGAATCTATCTTCTCTCTTATAGCAGAATCTATCTTCTCTTTTTAATCACTGTTATGTTTATTTGGAAAGGAGTTAAAAAAAGGAGGAGGGGGTGGGGGGGGGGGGGGTCTTGGTATATACTCAAGGGGGCGCATGAGTCTTGACATATATTTAAAGGGAGCGCAGGGTTCATGTCATATACTCAAGGGAAGCGACCTGAAAAATGTTGGAGACTACTGGGTTAATGTAAAAATATGGGGGTGACTGCAGTCAAGCTAATATAATAAAATCCAGAAAAATTGACTAAAAAAGCTCAACAAAATGGGCAAGCAGAAAAACGTGCACTAAACAACACAAATAACGTAACGTTTCAGCTGGGCAGCCTTTGTCTAACTACACAAAAAATAGGAACGAGGAGAGGAGAGTATACAGATCTCTAAGGGGTGACGTGAGCAACGTTTTAAAAATAAGTTTTCTGTTATATAATAAATGAAATCAAATAAAATAAACGATGGCTAAAAACAAAAAAATATAGTCGCGAAAAATAAAAAGTAATGATTTTAATATATAATATAATAGTGGGAATAAAAGACATACAGATGTTAATGATACATAAATGATATTGATAAGAGATATAATAAAGTAATAATGTGAAATAAAATAAAAGAAAATAATTAACATTTAAAATGTGAAAAGAGTTAAAACTGTTTATATCAAGGTATGTTTGATATTGATCCCACCTGGACTAAGAACGCCAAGGCTGTGGATGAGGCAATTTCCAAAGTGAGGCGCGTTGTATGATCGGCAGAGCAAGATTTTAATGATGTGGTCTTTACCTCTGTGGTCAGAGCTGTAAAAATGGAGAGGGATAGGTTTAAGTGTCTTCTTGTCAATGTCGAAGAGGTGTTCCCGGAAACGATCAGCTAGCTTCCTGCCAGTTTCCCCAATGTATGCCTTGCTGTATCGTTTGCAGATTATTGCATAAATTAGGTTGCGGGATTCGCAAGTAGAAGGTTCCCTTATTTGGAAAGAACAATTAGGGAAACTGACTGAAGAAGTCTGGACATACAGAAGGACATGTCTTGCATATGCTGCGGGAGCATTCAGTAGTCCTAACAGGAAGTGCTGTGTTGATCGGTGGCAGTCAGCTTCTGACAAGTATGTCTTTAAGGTTTTTAGTTTATAGACGAGACCGCAACCTCAAATACATACTTGTCAGAAGCTGACTGGAGAGAATAGTATAACAAGGAGTCACCAAGGGATCTGGTCGACACTCAGTGAAAAGGCAGGTGCTTGGCTGAGAAAAAATATCATCACCTTCAACCAGCGTCTGCGAAGTGGGAGCTTTAGGTTAAAATTGTGACCATGTTTTATGCGCAAAAAATGGCTCAGCATTGCATTTTGTTTTTTAAATTAATATTTAACAACGCCGAACATTTTTATTAGAAACCAAGAAACACAGTGCTGGAGGTTCCGGGTTCAAGCCCCGGTGAAAGATGGGATTTTTTCTCGTGGACTTCTAGTAATTTCCCCTGGTCTGCGGGTAGTAAGATCGGACGCCCAAGTGTATTGTTGCGCACGTTTACAAAAATCCCCTGGCAGTTAGAAAATCGAAAAGAATAGCCTTACGGCGCTGCACGGGCAAAATTTTCAGTTAAAAATATACCTAAAGTATTTCAGGATCCTCTCTGGTGCTACGTAGTTCGTGTTCTGCGCTGCAATTCTTCCTACTCAGGCTGAAGTCAGAGGTAGAACGGAGCACTTATGGGTAACTACCCTTGTGCCATGATGTTGATCCGTAGTCTAAACTAAACAGACGACAGAAGGATAGATACGCAGTACGACAGAAAGGGGACAGACGCACGGACATTTGTATCTAAAGAGGAAGAAGACAGGCGGACGGAAAGGTAAAATAAACGAAAAAAATTAGAAAAAATAAGAGATTAAAAACACAAGAGAGAGAGAGAGAGAGAGAGAGAGAGAGAGAGAGAGAGAGAGAGAGAGAGAGAGAGAGAGAGAGAGAGAGAGAGAGAAAAGAATGAAACGAAGATAAGGATGAAAGAAAGAATTTCTCCCAACATGACCTTCTAAAAAGTAGACAATTTAAATCGGCTGCTTGTCTACGGGAAGCCCCGCCAACTCTCCATGTCAGACAGTGTGGATCTCCTTCCATGAACATGACTTGTACGTCCTCCTGCTTTTGATCTAGTTTTGTTGGGCTTCTGGTTAACTTGATTCTTCTTTTTTTTTTTTTAAAGACTTTGGAAGTCAGTGTGCTGGTGGTTTTTGTGATATAGAGTAACTGTTGAAGTTAGTGAACGACAGAGAGGGTTGTGGCTACGTGAAGTGATTAACTTTCACACATACTAGGTTTCTAAAGACGCAGCCATTTGTAGTTTTGCATTTGCAGGGATTTTCTGCAGCTAAAGAAGATTGCTTGGTCATTGTCTAGTGCAAATTCTAGACATTTTTTTCTGAAGGGTTAGATATGGTTTGGTTAAGGCTCGGTGGTCTAGGGGTGGGGGTGAGAGAAGGGTGTGGGTGGCATTGGGGTTGCCTTATTGATAAATAGGGAAAGAGAACACGGCCCCTGAAATAAAAACCACAAGAAAGAGAGAGAGAGAGAGAGAGAGAGAGAGAGAGAGAGAGAGAGAGAGAGAGAGAGAGGGGGGGGGGAGGGGGGGAACCATCTTTGGAGGACGTGACCTTAGGGGTGAACTAGACCTTGCCAAAGTAGGTAATGATAATCTGCTAAATAGAAAAAACTGAAATAGCCTGAAATGCCTACATAAATACTTGAAGGAAAAGTGCTAAACAATGTAGGATTGTAGGGGATTACACATAACTGTTAGATAAGCTTAGCCTTTTTTAAGAATGTTATTACGGAAAGGCTTGGACTTAAGAATATAGGTCTTGCCCTATATGCCCAGTACACCCGAAGGCGTGAAAAAGGGTTCCCTTACTTGTTACATTACCATGGAAAGGGAAGAGGGGAGCAAGGTGCTCGAGCACTCACCCCCCCCCCCTACTCCCACAATGCCCTATCACCCCTCAAAGAGACATAAATCAGGTTACAGGTAGGGAGAACATATTTCTAGAAGCATTCGTTGGTCCCAGCTGGTGTGTTGTGTTATAAAATAGTTTCAGGTATCTATATTACTGCTGAGATAGGTGCATGACTTCACATTCTAAGGAGAAGACCAAAGAGCACACAGTAGACAAAAAAACAGGTTGGAAAGTTAACATCAGAGAAGATCTACCACAGTTCTTCTTCTTCTTCTTCTTCTTGTTTTCCCTAAAATAGGGCCCTGGAACCCACACGGGGATACAACAGCACGATGTATCTATGGCCGAAACGGACAGAAGAGCAAGAAGCAGAGACATATACCACACGACACTTGGAGCGGAAAATAGGAAGTGAAGAAGAAGAAGTGGAAATTCTGTTCATGTATATAACTGGAAGATGTTTGCGTGTGCTTCTGTTAGCTTCTCTAGGTTATACCACTTATTTTTGCTTTAGAATATGAAATCATGCACCTATTTGAGCAGTAATGTTAATAAGGATGTCGGAACTGATAAAGATTGAGAAAAAGAAAAATTACTATTACAAAAGATAAGAGGAGTTTTCACAGCACTGGGACATTTGTGGAAATTAAAAAAAAAGTTAATACTTATACCAAACTTACAATTTTTTTAACTCTAATGTCATATCAGTTCTGCTTTATGGAAGTAAAACATGGAGAACAGCCAAAATAATCGGTAATAAACAATATACATTTATTCTGTGTATGTGTGTGTGTAAATGTGAGTGTGTGTTTCTGTATGTATGCATACATGTAGTGTTGAATGTACACATCTACCCTCCATACCTTTGTGTTTTCACCTTATTCGCATACTATGCATTTTGCTTTATAAATAAAATTACAATTGATATATGTTTGATTAGTGTTTGGAATGCCTAATTTGTGACCCTTTAAAAAAAAAAGTTCATTTGGTAATTTCGTCTATTTTTCTGACTGTCTGCCTACTTGCCTATCTTGTGCCTATATTTGTTTCAAAGTCTACCTGAATCATCATCATCAAGTGCCTTGCCAAATGGCATAGGCGATCATTCATCTCCACAATACTGCGATCACCAACCTCGTGTCTTGATACCCCTCTATGTCATGCCAAAAGGCTGGCAAGAATAGCCTAATGTATTCTTCCTGTGTATCTTTTTTCTACATTCCTTTCCAGTAGTCACAACATGTTCCATTTGCCTTCTTTTCATAACATGAACTAAAAAACTGTCATTGTCTCTTTCTGATATTTGTGACAAGTTGTCTTCGAGCCCTCGCCTCTTTCAAAACATCTGGGTTGGTCTTCTTTGGCTGTGATGAAAATTTTAAGGATTCTTCTGTAAAGCCGCATCTCTGAGTCCTCTACCCAAACACCTGTCTACCTGCTTACCTATCTATTTAAAAAGCCTCGAAGAATTCAAATTTTTAATGCATTTGTTCTTTGATTTTGAATTTTAGCAGGAGGCAAGACTCATTGGAGGACACCGCAATCAGCTACGATGATCTAGCCAAGCCCGGTCTTACTGCTATGGAAGTCCAGCCAGACATGAGATCTCTGGAGCCACGAGGGGATCCCCGGGCATTCATGTAAGTCGTTTGTATGTGTGTTGGGTTGAGTTAAGGACCGACAACCCAGCGCTTAAGACGTTCTCATAAGCGCTCCGTCCTCATCATCATCAGCCAGAGAAGATTTATCGATTCTGATGATACCAGCAAAGGTTTGAGCATCTGTCCGTCTAGACTATCCTCTGGGTGCAGTATATTGCCCAGATCTCCTGGTCGCTTCGTAATGCACCATTCTCTGCAGACTGTAATGACATTTTGTTGCGCTTCTGCATTGTTAAATTACTCCTAAAGGGCCCTAACCACACATAGCTTGCCATGCTTCAATCACGACCGGCTCCAGCTGACGTGGTGTGCTTCTGACGTCACAGGGTCAGGCTGACAATGCGTTAACGCAGCGGTTCTCAAACAAGAAATTATCTAATTTCGACAGTAGCGAGGGAAACCTTAAATTTCAACTTTAAAGTATCTACGTGCCTTTTAAAAAATGTCACAATTTTTAGCCGACTTTTCTTGGTTATTGCCTCGGCAGCCCCGGCATACGCTCACGGCACCCGAGATTTCTTCGGCAACCAGTTTAGGTACCACTATGTTAACGCATCGCTAGCCCTACCCGGTGACGTCAGCAGCACGGCCCGTTAGCTGGAGCTGGTCATGCTTAAATTCCCTCAGTGGTGCAGCACCAGCCTTATGTGTATTTATAATAATTAGTGACCATGGAAATGACTTGTATATGAAGAGCTACAGGAGTGACCAGAAGAGATAAAATCAGAGTGAGGTCATGCAAGAAATATTTAGCTGATACCCAGTTCTAAATTGCATACGCAGTCAACAAATCAAATGTTAGACCATTGAAACAACTTATTTTGCGACGCCGTACTATACAAGGCATACACCAAAAGAGAAGGCCGTGGAGCGCACAGTAGACCAAAAACAGCATGGAAAGATAACGTCAGAGCAATTCTACCATAGTACGATTGTCTATGGCTGAAGAGACTAGAAGAGCAAGAAGCAGTGTCTTATATCTCCATCGACACCTGAAACGGTAAAATAGGAAGTGGAGAAGAAGAAGAAGAAGAAGAAGAAGAAGAAGAAGAAGAAGAAGAAGAAGAAGAAGAAGAAGAAGAAGAAGAAGAAGAAGAAGAAGAAGAAGAAGAAGAAGAAGAAGAAGAAGAAGAAGAAGAAGAAGAAGAAGAAGAAGAAGAAGAAGAAGAAGAAGAAGAAGAAGAAGAAGAAGAAGAAGAGAAGAAGAAAAGAAGAAGAAGAAGAAGAAGAAGAAGAAGAAGAAGAAGAAGAAGAAGAAGAAGAAGAAGAAGAAGAAGAAGAAGAAGAAGAAGAAGAAGAAGAAGAAGAAGAAGAAGAAGAAGAAGAAGAAAAAGAAGAAGAAGAAGAAGATTATATTCAGAGTGGGCTCGAACGCTGGGTATATTTGTCCTGCTAACAACGCTACTTATTCATTACTGAATGATGTTGGATACTGGAGTCTCTGCAGTCATGATGAGGATAAGGAAAATAATGCACTACATACCATCTTATTTAAAGCCGAGATGCTTGACCTCATGGCTCCTCGGGGGAGTTCCCCAGCTCAATTGTGGGGATGCAGATAGAACAGACGCACTGATCACCCCTCCCTCCCATAAATATTCCGACATATGTGTCCAAAAAGTCGACTAATTAGGAGTGGGTTTTTTCGGAGTCCAGGTGCATCTGCCTGAGAGGAACGGAACCGGTAGTCTGCGTACAGTTAAGCCTCATGGAACTCTCTAGTCATGCACCTGAGAACAAACATAAAAATACACGGCAGGAAATTGGCCAAAGTATTATTTGTGTCCACGTTACTCTTTCTTTCTTTTTTCTTTTATCTTCTGACTGATACCAGGTTGTAGCCCATTGACATAATTTTCTGTGTTTGAATTATCTTGCTCTTCTTGTGTTGCTTGGGTGATGGATTTGTTCATCACTTTGCCGGTTTCAGCTCCACCATTTATCTATCTCTTTCGTTGTCTTCCTCTTGCCTTCCTCCCACATCTTCTGCTGTATGAAAAAAAAAAAAAACCCGATTTGCAGTTTAGTCTGGCTGCACTCTCATTAGATGGCTTCATTCCTTGCTTGTCGATAAAATTAAGACACAGTCTTTTCCCAACTTTCTTGTTCCACATTATTCAAGGTTACATAAATCTGAAGTCCAAACCGAGCTTGGATGTACACGGACGTTCTTTCATCTATCCTCTGGCTTTATACCATAAGATTTTTTTTACAGGTACTTTTTTTTTCAATTCACCCTAAACAAATGAAATTCCCTTGTTCTCAGGAAAGTCCAGAATTATTGGGGTGTAAAGGGTTAGGGTTGGGATTAGACTTTTGACCCTTATCAGCCCGACCGCATCAGAAACATTAACTCTACTCCTAGCCCTAACTCTAACCCTAACCCCAACTCTAACTTTAACCCTAACTCTAACTTTAACCCTAACTCTAACCCTAACACCAATCTTAATCCTTAACTCTAACTGTAACCACCAACACACAACACCCTCAAAATATTGGACTTTCTCAGGAACTCAGAAATTCCTCTGTTTTGGTTAAACTGAAAGTAAAATACCTTTTTTTAAAACTGTTCTTGTTATTGTAATCCTTGCATAAGGTCACTGTTTTTGACCTTTCTATTTAGGCCTTTCGCCCCGCTACCACCACGACGATTTGGACCTCAGGGGCCGGTCGACTCGCAGAGACGATTGATTCCTGTGCCGGAGGAAGAGGGCGGCTCCGACGAGGGAAGGCAGTCACAAGAAAACCTCTTCAACTTCTCAGCGTACGAATACAACAGCGGCAACCTGGGCGACGCCGAGGAGGAGGACGTGGAATATGAGGCACAACCGGAGACTCAACCAGGGGCGGCCGCAGCTCCCCTGAGGCATATGAGACCAGCTGGGTTCATTAGGGGCAACCAGAGATCTCTTTCTAACTCGGGCACTTGAGGAAAAGAGTTTGTTAAGTTTCGTAGACACGATGGGTTAAATTGGTGACTTGTTTTCAAAATATTCTTGAAGACAGTACGATACAAAATGTCCAATGATTTACAAACTGTAATATCTGACTGTTTTATTTTCTCATGCATTTACTTGATTTCTTCCTAACCTCGTGAGTTCTGTTAGAAATCATCCAGTGTTTGTTCTGTCATTATAAAGTCTTTACTGTCTCTATTTAAAACTTCTAGCAGGTTGTATAGGACAGAATCTTTGAGTGTGAGGATTTAGGCCTGTATGGCTAATACAGTCATCACTAATAGTGCACGTTAGGTTTTTATTTTTGTCCCCCAACAGACACAAATCCCTGACCTTACTAAGGAAATGAACCCGAGTCTTTCGAACGACAATCTTTCCGGCAGCTTTTAAAAAAAAAATAATTCTAAATGATTCAAAATAACAACCTTATGCCACAGAAGGAATATAACTAGCAATTGTGAATGAAATTGTGAATAAAACAGCTGTTTATGCTGGCAGAAAGTCACAGAGGTATGTTCTCTTTCAGCACGTTGTGTAATTGTAGAAGTCGAAAGTCACTTATAAGTTACCTTTGATGACTGTAAAAGGAGCCTTAAGATTTGTAGACCGGGTTATCTGTTACTAGTGAGCACCCGTGAAATAGCAGGTAGACAGCAGCCTGCCGATCTTAAGGTCGTGAGTTGAAATCTGAACAAAGCTGGACCTATTTTCTTTCATAAATGACCCTGGCTCACGACTGAGCGAGTGACTTTTACCCCCACCAGGACATCACACTGAGCGAAAAACACCCGGTGACACAAAGTGCCACCACTCGGATGAAGATCACACGTGGAGAGGTCCCAGAAACCCCGTTCAACCGTTAGGTTATATTATGGCCCCCCTGCAAAATCCAGGGTGGGGCTTTAAAACAACGAAAAATTCGATCCACATGGGGACTTCGACTACGTAACCCTGACTCCCATTTCGACGCAGCCTTGTATGGGTACCAGCTGAGGTCATAGATAGTAAAGGCGGCCGGCGTGATGATAATGACCATATAACCCACTTAGTGCTGACTGGTGTGTAAAATATAGATGTAGCACTATCTATACCTGCATGCCTGGAAAAGGGTCATTTACTTAATTTGTTTCGTCTGCTGAATACATTGTGAATACATTGTTATTTTTTTTTTTTTTTTTTGGGGTGCAGGTTTGTCAGTTTTAGTAAACATAAGACTGCCATTATTAAATATATTAACTACATTTTAGGGCTGTATATGGAGGCAAAGGGTTTAGGTGCTTTATTAATGCCCTTCCCTAAACAGGGGAAATCCACAGGTCACAGGACAGTCTAAATTTGCAGGGGGTGGTAGATAGGCTGCATGGAGTCGTGGGAACCTAGGCTGCAGGCATTCGTGGGACCTAGGTTGCTCTCTGTCTTGGGACGTGTAGGTGGGTAGGGGTTAGGGCAGTTCCAGATGTTTTGGGATCGTTAAAAGCATTAGAAAGCCGGGAAACCCAGTCTTACCACCCTCTAAAATATTGGACTATCCTGTGACGTCATCTGGGGGGTGGGATATTAATAAAGAACCGGGGTTGAACCTGACGATTCTGGGCAGTTTCCAAAACTGTGTCCTTTGGGATTGTATCAATGCTTACTGGTCCGCCAACGGGCGACTAGGTTGCGTTGGTGATCTGGAGCTGTCATCGCATCAACATTGCAACAACATTACAACAACATTGCAACAACATTGCAACAACATTGCAACAACATTACAACAACATTGCAACAACATTACAACAACATTGCAACAACAATGCAACAACATCGCATCAACATTGCAACAACATTACAACAACATTGCAACAACATTACAACAACATTACAACAACATTGCAACAACATTACAACAACATTACAACAACATTACAACAACATTACAACAACATTACAACAACATTACAACAACATTGCAACAACATTACAACAACATTACACTTATCATGGCTTCCTGGTGGCTAGCATTTATTACCTATGACTATTCCCCCCCCCCCCCCCCACCCCCCCCCCCTTCCCCAACCAAAATACAAACAAAATACAGGCCACCAATATAACCAATAGCTCCTCCTCCCGGGGTAGCTGGGAGAACGTGGTCGAATTTTTTTTTATATTTCTTTATAATTTTATGAACTAGAACTCGAACATTTATGATTGTCACACCTTCCTTCTTCATTACTTTTTTTTTTTTGTTTTTTGTTTAAGAGATGTCAGAAGCAGGGAGCTAATACATTATTCGCTAATTACGTCCTTTTCAGGACGTAGTTTTTATTACGTCCTTTTCTGGGGCCGCAATATAGGCAGGCCATAAATATGGCCAATTGTCTGAACGCGGTTTCTGGGACCTCTCCACGGTGATCCTCATCCACATGGTGGCACTTTGTGTCATCGGGTGTTTATCGCGTGTGTGATGTCCTGGTGGGGTAGAAAGTCAGTCAGTCAGTCGGGAGCTAATATCAAGACATGAATTAACACAACACAATGCCTGGACATCTCAGGAGAAAAAGAGGCGCACATGTATAAATAAACGTTTCGACACGACTATACTGAACTCTTCGACCAGACTATTTATCAAGGGATGAAATATTAGAATCATTAAAAAAGGGAGGCAATATAGAAACAGGAGTGCAAAAATATATGCACAGGAAGAAACAAAACAGAACAACCTTAACCAAGAAGGAAAGAAATAAAATACAAAAGAAATAAAGAAATTATTGACATTATTTTAAAGCTCCGTCTTATCTGTCGTCAGGGGCCCTTAGTAGTAGTAATAGTACTTTTACCTCACTAGAACGCGATAAACACCCGATGACTTAAAGTGCCACCATGCGGATGAGGATCACCCGTGGAGAGGTCATGGAAACCGCGTCTAACCATTAGGTCATATTTATGGCCGGGCTATATTGCGTCCCCTGGCAATAACGACAAATTATTTTTATTTTTTATTTTGTACATTGTTGTGAAAGGTGAAAAAAATGGCCATTTTATTCATTATTTACATTCCAAAGCAAATTGCATAAAGGGCTTTACAAACATGTAAATAAACACCAGAGAAAAGAAAGGGAGACAAACACGTAGCAGACAGACAGGGGCGGGGAGTTGGTGAAGAGGAAAGCACAAGAAAAAGATAGACAGGGCCACTATCGTATAAAATCAAACAAAAATTCCAAACTTAGTCCTTTTTTTAGCCGCCTGATGGCCTGCTTTTTCAAGGACGGTTCCTTTGCTATCTTATTTTATTTATATTCCTTGTGGTGATCACTTTCACCTGAGTTTGTTCATTTGTTGCCTAAGTTCTGGTTCTGAGGGGCCTGGTTCCTGTTTAATTGGCTATTCGCTAGCTTTTGCACTGTTCATCTGTGTTAGCACCAAGTCAGTTTGAAGTCACACCGCCACGAAACAAACAGTTCCGCATACTGAGCGCCCTAAAACACGGCCCCCACAGGACGACTGTCACAATCTTGTTGTTGTGTGCAGCCGTTAGATAAGTAGAGGAGGTAACAAAGGTTGCAAAAAAATTAGAACGCCCGAAGGTGCAAAGATATTGTATAGCTAGGTCGGAAGTTGGAGAGAGACAGATAGCTTGCTAGGTTGAGGAAGAGGTCCTTGGTGGGTTGAGTCCTGCACACTGCCTGCTCTGCCTGGGTGGATCTGAAAATAGACTGATTTACATTTTAGATATATGTGGGGAGGGACGGGTGAGGTTATCAGAGTAGCGTAGTAGCCTGGAATTCCACAAGTGCTGGTCCCCTTATTGTGCAATGCCCTTTTAGCTGGTTTGCCTCAGAGCGTCGGGTGGCCTTTGGTGGGTTTCTTCGGCTTTTAGCTGAAAATGAGTTTATTAATATTGAAACATATGTGGGAGGGGCGGGGAGTTTACAAAATGAAATGCATAACAGACTGAAATCCACGAGTGCTGGTCCCCTTCTTGTGCTATGCCCTTTAGCTGGTTTGCCTCGGAGCGTCGGGTGGCCTTTGGTGGGTTCGGTCGTATTATTCTTTCTGAAAATATACTATGAGAAATTATGTTAGTTGAATTTTTTAGTCTGGTTGATTCGCCTGTGGTGGAGAAGGAGTGGAGGTGGTACAGGCTGAGGGGCAGGAATGCCTTTGAGAGGACATACAGTGAGGTCGGAAGAGTGAGTGAGAGGTAAAGTTGCCTCTGTTGTGGGTGCTGGTACTCGCTGGATCTGGTCACATCATGATGGGGGTGGCTCTCAGATCGCTTTCCCGGTTCTGGATATGAACTGCTTCACAAGTCGCTGGATCTTGTCGTCACAGCTCACACTGAGGCAGTTTTCAGTTGTCATAGGTTGGTTTGAGGCTCTGAAGTGCAGCACGAGCTCTTGTCTCTCTATTTCGTGGTGTTTACAGTTTAGTAAGAAGTGCTCCATGGAGTTGGGGGCCCTGCATTCCTCGCACACAGGAGTGCGGAATCGGTCTGGCCAACACCCTAGTCGCATCTTCCACAGTTTTCGGATGGCCGGAATTTTGGTCGGTTTAGTCACTTGATTCTTGAGACTGGGTTTGTTGAGTAGTTTGTAGGCAGCTCTGCCTTTGTCGCTGGTCGACCACTGTTGGGACCATTCTCTGCATATTCTGCTTTTGATAATCGCTTTTAGTTCAGTTTTGCCCAGTCCCGCGAATACTGTGTTGTGGCTAACCGTGCCTCTCTTCGCCGCTCTGTCTGCTGCTTCATTGCCCTCAATGCCTATGTGTGCTGGGATCCAACCAATGGTAGTTTGGCATCCCAGGCTTCTGAGTCGGGTGGAAATTGTCAGGATTTCCTCTTTGATGTCTTGCCGGCTCACTTTCGAAAAGTCCCTCAGGGCTTGTACTGCTGATAGTGAGTCAGAAAGGACGAGGAGTTTTATGGGGGGCCGTTCGCAGGCTAGCTCCAGTGCTTTCAGAATCCCTACCAGCTCAGCTGAGCAGAC